TTTTAATTGTATTTAAAAATTTAAAAATATTTAATAATAGAAATATTTTAAAATTTAGATTATTGTTTATGGCCTATTGAGCTATTGTAGTTCATTGTGATTTTGCTTCTAGTTTTCAAGATTTTGGAAAGAGAAGTAACTTATTGATTATTAGTTTAGGATCATATATGAGTTATAAGTATTTCTCTATTTTGATTTGGACAGTCATGACTAATTTATTATTCAGTTATATAGTTTTTATTGATAGTCATGTACTGCAGTGTATATATATATAATGAAATGAAAGAAATCTTTCAGATGAGTTTATTTATAGTACTCTAGATGTTTATAGTATCCGGTAATCTATAGTTTATTTTAATGTTTAAATTTGAAGAAGAATTCTAAAATATTTCTAAAATATTTTAAAGTGGGAATTTTTGGCGGATTTCTAGTGTTACCGGTGGATAAAATCCACCAGTAACAGAGCGTTTTCCTGTAATGTAGATTTTGATATTTGTCTATCATAACTCAACACGATATGATATGTCACATAAGTGGATTCTTGTCGGGTTGGATTGTAATAACCATACTGATTGGATAAATTTATACTAAAAATAAACTGCATTAGCTACCTAAATGATAATTGATCTGCTCACTCAAATGCATTAATAATATATTAGCAAAATATTTTTGTAATAAATTTATATATTTGAGCCAAAACTTATATTTGGATAAAATACTTAAAAATTTTGCATCTGAGAAAATTTTAGGAGAAAATATTGTGACAAAATATTATGTTATATTATATGATAATGGGCTTTAAAATTATTGAATTTGTCTTATGATTAGTGCAATATAAATTCTTTATATACCTCACAAATCTCAAGACAAATTCAATATATATTTTTTCGCAAACTCTATATCTATTTGGTTAGAAAGAGGTATAGAAAGAACATTAAAATCTTACATCCTTGTAAATATTAACATTCCAATGCTTCAAATTACAATACTATCATTTAAATTTTGAAAACAATTATTAAAATATCAATTTTCATCTTCATTAATTAATTTACTATTTCTTAATATTTAATGATGTAAGTTCATCACACATAAACACATAGTTTTTTTTTAATATTCAATGTTATCATTATAAATAAGTAATTTTAACATCACATTATTAATAAATAATAATGACTAACAAAAATGATTCATAAAAGTGTACTGAAAATAGTTGGACTAATAATTCCAATGCATCGATGAATAGTTTTGAGCTCAAATCTAATGAATAGCTTAGGCCACCTATATTAATTACTCCCAACATTAAGGTCATGAGAAGGTTATGATGGGTTTCAACCACCATAAAGAACACATTATGAGAAGCTAATCATAAGCTCAAGTGGCATTAAAAGTTGATGAAGCAATAAAAAAACTATGTCATTGAGGTCTAATGCTAGCTTTCCTTATTGGTGCAACATATATTTTGCACCTCAATAGAGTTTTCTATCAATTTTGACTTTTGATCCTCAAATTCAATTGTCTTCAAAGTTTAATTGATATTGAGGTCAAAATTGGGTTATTTAAAAAACAATTAGCATTAATATAGTTTTCCAAATTTTAAAATCATATATAAGTGAAATTATTTAGATTGTTTTTTGTTCAAATTTCGTTATTTTTTGCAATCTTTTTATGAGTTGAACAATTTTGATTCATTTGAGATTCTAAGTATATATTTCACATTTTCGAATGTTAAATAGTTGATATCGTTGAAATTGATCGGAGTCAAAATTTTCACTTAATCATTGTTAAAAAGATGAAATACAATGATATGATCGAGCTCAAATTAAGATTAGTACATTAATAAAAATACAACTATCAATGCAAAAATATGCCCTAGTAATTATTATCCTTATCATATGCATCATAATAATTACAAATAATTCTCAATCAATATAAATAATTTTTTTTATAAGTTCAAATAACTTACTTTTTTCTATGGCTTTGAAAAAAAAGTCTTCATTTTTTAGTAAGTTATTTGAATCAATCCAATGGCTTTGAAAAAAAAGTTTTCTCCAACTACTAAGCCACAAATTCTTTCACTCATAAAAGAAAAAAAAAAAAGAAAGAAAAGCAATTCAACTAACACAAATGCAGCAATTCAACAAAAGGCAAGTCCCCTTCAAGCTTTATGCCTATATGAATGGTTCCTCTCTTCTCAGTAAAAATTTAGCCCACTTTCTTGCAATGCCTGAAACTAGAAGCTCAATGGCAGTACATTCTCTTACTGATTCTAATACAATTAATCATTGCAAGACTACTAAGAAATCTCCACATGTTATTGAAATCAAATAATCATTCTTCCTATGATCGAATATGAGACGAAAAATGAACGGCAAGTGATCGGCTACGTCGAACCGGCGATCCATAGAGCATGGAGTTAGCAATTTCAAGTGGAATCCTAGCTGTTAAACTTTAGCTGCATTTGCTGCTTCTTTCCTTGTTTGGTAGGAATGAAGATGAGGCTGAGAAGAGAGGACATAGTTTATCACATGTGGCATCTATATCATGATAATAAATGATTGAAGGCTTGTTTGTATAAAGTGATATGTGAAGGGAAATAGATAGAGCTAAATGTCTGTATCTATAAAGTTTAAAATGTTCCATTGAACTGTCACATTTTATGAATAGGTTGATGTTTATGTTAGCTTAGAGTGTGGAATTGAAATAATTATTGGATGATTGGTGCTCTTTAGATCTTATAGGGGCCTATCAAGTGGAATCCTAGCTCTTTAGATCTTAAGCTTTAATATGCAATCTTATTATGTTATCAAGATATATCATAAAAATTTCTTAATTGAGCTATCAAAATTATAGGATAATTAAATATGCAATTTTGCATAAATATTTTTTTTATCCATCAGGATTGCACGTGTAAATTTGGATCAAAGTTTTATATAATATGGATCGATCGATGGATCACTATTTTATAAAAAAATAATATATCTATAATGTAGAGATAGGTTTATGTACATTAATTATTTTATAGGCATTGAATCGATGAAATCTTATCCCCAGAATTGTTTTGAGTTTTTATCGTTCTTTAAAGCAAAATTGTTAAACTCATAAGATTAATGAGATAGGTCTAATGATTAATTTATCTTGTTTTATTAATAAAGTAGTTTAGCGTTCAATAATAAGTTAATTTAGACTTCGTTATCAGACAACTTTCTTATTGCTTTCTAAAACAACTTTTCAGTATAAAAATTTCTAGTTCAAGATATTTTTGTACTAAAAAGTTGCTTTAGAAAAAAAAAAAGAAAAGAAAATGTCCCAAATCAAGCCCTAAAGTTGTTAGGTTTTGTTAGAAACCTTAAATATGGCTTGAACTTAATTGAAAAAAACATTAAAATAGTTTTAAAGAAAAAAAAAACTTCTAACTTAACCTTTCAGCAAATCAGGAATGAGCTGAAAACAAACATTCACAGTTGTAATTAATGGTAAGAATTTTGTGGTGGAAGCCAGCTTGAAGGCACCTTACCAAGTATAACACAAAGTAAAAGAAAAAAAGGTCAAATTATAGGGCTCTACTTGTAGTTCACCTTTAACCATATAAATGAGAATTTCATATATATGGTCTCACTTGTGTTGATATTCAATCAAATCATAGAGACTTCAAATATTTAAGCAGAAATGAAAATAATAATAATGTTGTAAATAATGGTTCACATAACACTCTTGCAAGATTTAAATGAAATTAAATGCGGATTTAACACAAATTTTGAAGCAAGTAGATTAGAAAGAAAAAATACGATTTAGATTTGATTCAGCCAATCTAATATGGCATAATCTCTTTCTTCTTAATTATTATGATAATGTAAACTTTGTGAAAGTTTCGCAAATCTTCAATAGTTCTTTTACTTTCAGAATAAATTTTCCTGCTTCTGCCTCGTAAAAAGATCTAGCAGGTAAGTGAATCATAATAACCCTGATGATATTTATAAAACATCATGAACAGTTCTTCTATCTATATATTGCTAGATTTAGGATTAAAGTAAGGAGTACATTTTTTTACTTTTGGTGGGCCTTAGGCTATCCTTAGGGCAAACCAACCCTACTAGTCAATCATGTCTATCTTATCGAGTAGACACTTACGTTGCTATTAGAGTTCATTAAATTCACTACTTTGATAATTATTGAACTTCTTAAATTTTGTGGTCTCATCATTGCTCTTTATCATACAACTTCTAGTTTTAAAACCGGTCTATTAAATTATTGATGAAGAAGCACCCCTAATGTGGCAAGACATAAATTCTAAAATCATGTGAAATGATGATGATGGGTTGTTCTCCTTCCTTACATATGGTTGGGTAAAACTAGTTCAATTTGAGTTAATGGAATATACTCAAAATTTGATCCCAACTTAATATGACATAAGTTATTCATCCTTTATTTGTAATAATTTATTGACATATAGTTTTAATTCATATGATGACACATTATTTTATCATTGACCTCCTTTCAAAACTTAAGGAAAATAAAAAAGAAAAAAAAATCATACAGTTCATTGGTAATCCCAAAACCTTAATGAGTTATATCAATCAATTGAAAATAGAATTTTTTTACACCCAAAAAGTATCAGACCATAAGATTTTGATAATAGTTTCTGAAGGGTAATCAATTGGGGCAAAATTTTAGCCTCTGTTTGCATTATTTTCTATGGTGATATGATAAGCTAAAATTTTATTTGAGATAATTTTTTTATTATTTTTTAAAATAATTTTTTAGTTCAAGAATTTATTAAAAGCAATAAAAAAACAGTAATTTAAAGCTGTCCCAAACAAATCCTAAATAAAATGAATAATAATTTGATAAATTTATGTAAAAGTTCTACGCATATGCTGTATGAGTTGTGATTATTCGATAAAAATATATTAGAATATTAATGACACTTTATACTCGCTATAGGGAATCTGGTGATATAAATAAAAAAAACATAAAAATTCCTCTACTTTTCACTATCTCTGGTAAGCAAGCAAACAATCCCTTCTCAGTTGAAAGTGTCCATAAACAATCCATAACATTCGAATCATACAAATTTCCAAAAATCTTATAGTAAATACAATACAATCAGTGCTGATCTTCAGAAATCAAACAATTGGTACATTTAAGCATTTTCCTCACAGAACTTTGAGGAAGGAATTGCTTCAGACTTTAAGGCTTCGTTTGTGACGAGTTTTTTAATGCTTCTTAAATCAGTTTTTTTGTATTAAAAAGTCGCGTTAAGAAGTGAAAAAGCTGTCCCAAACGAAGCCTAAAGGGGCAATCTAACCAGGGCCTACCTTGGGGATATCATAATGCTCACTTAGATTGGCCAGGTATTGGTTGAAGCCTTGGATCCTGTCCCGGTGAGACTTATTTGCAGTCTTAGCCATGAGATACTGGTCAATCTTTCCTCTCTGTTCAATGTAGCGCCTCTCTGCTGGTGTGAGTTGATCATCATAAGCCTGCTGTGTATTTTCTTCACCCATTTTGTTAGCTTCGATCAACTCTTCTGATGGCTCTGTAGACTGTCCAGAACTCCCTCCTGAAACAAAATCACAAAAAAGTCACAGCTCATAATGAGCTTGGTTCAAGGTTACAAAGCTCAAGCAATGGAAACACAGAACAAGATGGCCGCCTGGTGGCTCCAACTGTTAGGGATTTTGCTTGCCTTCTAAGGGAGAAATTATTCCGCGTGGAGTCGGGACGGTAAAGAACTGTCAGGATATGAGTGTATACAGTGTGTATACTGAGCATAATTTTATACAAAGTTTAATTTTTTGTATACACAGTGTGTACAAATACTATGTATACTCACATCCGGACGGTTCTTTATCATTAGGATTCCGCACGGAATAATTTCTCCTTCTAAGGGCATAGAAAATTTGAGGCCATAAAACAAGGAACGAGCAAATTAGATAGGCAACTAGCTGCTTCATAATTTCTTAACAAAAAAAAAAAAAAATCGTAATTCATACTCTTGATATATGCCTTCCTATGTTGCACCGATAAGGATACGACGACACGGATACGACACGATACGGATACGGGACACGTCAATTCTTAAAAATACAGGATACGGGTACGACGCGGACACAACATCATAATTTATAAATCATACATAAAAAATAAGAAAGCAATCAAAGCATAATATTTGAAATTACAAAAAAAAAATGACAACAACATCATTTGTAGCCTTGTATCTTATAATATCAAAATATAAGTAAGCATTAAATGTCTAATACAACAACAAAAGCATAAGCAATTGCCTTCTTATCCCTATATTTATACATAGATTGTTTTCATGGCTCAACCTGTGACTTTCATAATGCTCCAGATCACAATGTAAGCAACCTAACAACTACTCTGAACCAAAACCTTTTAAGCCAATTATAGAAATAATGCAAAAGAGAATAATAATAAAGAATACCAATATATTGAAGAAATGGTCGAGATGCGTTATTGAAGTGAATAGAATGGAGTTGAATCACCTGATGGGTTCTCATTGCCTCCATTATGAGACTCATTGTCATAGTGATGTTTTTGCTTCTTTTTCTTCTTTACGCCACCAGACTTGACGTCCAAGGCTTTTCCCTTCAGCTTTAACTTCCCAACAACAACATTCTCATATGCGGACATTTCTGCCTAACTGAAGAAAAGACACTTTAGCAACAGCTGAAATGCTTTGAAATGCATGATAATATCTGAGATGAGGAAAAGGATATATAACCACATAAAGGCTTCGTTTGGGAGGGCTTTCTTACTGTTTCCTAAAGCAATTTTTAAGTACAAAAATTTTAATTTTTGTTCTAGAAAGCTGCTTTAAGAAGCAACAAGAAAGCCGTCCCAAATGAAACCAAAATCTAACTGATATATGCAGGAATCAATGGCCATGCCATTATCTGGATTTCAGCATGAGAAATTTCTGATCTTCCAAGATCGAAAGGTGAACATATTGTGGGAGATGCGTGACAAAAGATTCGGTCCATAAGAGCATTTAGAATAGCAAAAAGCCGGATAATGAGAATGCTTGTTAAGTTTTACTCGATGGAAAAGGTTATAGAGGAAAACCAGATAATGGTAAAAACACAAAAGAAATCAGATGAATCACCTACATCTCCAAATGAAATTAAAAAGCAAGTAGATATGCAGAGGTCACTGGTGATCATTATCATCATTAGCATCATCCCAAGTATTTGGGTTATCTTCATACATCCTCATTATTTGTTCTTGTTTAGTGCCCCGTGGAGAAAAACAGTTTTGCACAACTTATATCCAAGTTATATTTAGTGTAAATCATTTTTTTATTCTTCCAACATGAATTCTATCAGCATGAATTCTATCATCTCGCATTAGTGTACATTCTATCCATAATTACACAACCAAACCTCCCTAAGTATATCATTAACTATCTTATCAACAATAGGTGCTACATACTCTAATATAATCACTTTTCAATGTTTTGTCATATATGCTACTATTTTGGTATTACCATGCTCAATTAGTCTAATGACTTCTTCACTATCCATGCTCAAATACATATAACATAGATGCTAAAATCACCACACACACACACGCATACATCTGTTGACATGTATATGGATGAAAAAAAAAAAAACTTCTTTTACAGATCTCATACCTACTTGACGACACCGACATTCTCCCCATGAAGATCGTGCACAAATCTCAGAAATCCTATAAATTCACCATCTGGCGCATGTCGTCGACATTCTTTGCACGTTCTTCTTCCTCAATCGCATCCCTACATCAACATTAAAATGACAGAGGGATGAAACCTTTCGTATGTTTTCTCTTGCACTCGAAAGATCGCAAATCTCCAACTTCCTCTTCCGTCATTTCCCTTCCAGCCGTCCGACGCCTAAAGCCGCTTCACCCTCCCGACCTCCTCATCTCATTGAGCCGAATCCACACCCAACCACTGATCTCCCTCACGACAACACCTCGCAAGCCGTCCGTCACTCCAAGCTGCCGATCTTCCTCATCCAGCCTTCCAAGCCGCAACAACCTCTAGCCGACCTCACGAGTTCAGGCTGATCTCTACCCATACCCGAGCTGATCTTCCTTCAACGCTTCAGCCCCCCTGATCTGCCTCCCTCTGCTTCGATCAAACCCAACATATCCACCTCTTTCAATGAGATTCCTTACTGTCGAATCGGAAATAGTGACGTGAGCTTGCTTGTTGAAAAGGTAGCCATCTTTCTCCCTTTCACGCGCTTCTTCGGCTAAATCCCGTAAAGATTTACGACACAAAGAAGAATATTGAGGATTTAAGTGGCTGTGGGATTAAACAGTTCCCTAAGTCCTGCTTAACAGGATTTTGCATAAATCCTGTTTGAATTCCGCATAATTCCTGTATCCCGAGAGCCTCTTAGCATAAATCCTATTCGAATTTTGCACAATTCCTGTATCCCGACAACCTCTTAGCATAAATTTTATTCGAATTTTGCATAATTCCTATATCCCAATGGCCAATTTGCATAAATCTTACTCTAATCCAGCACAAATACCGTTTTACTGACTCTTAATTACAATAATTATGCAGTCATAATTATTGTTGATTATGATTATTAATAATTATAATTATTTGCTAATGATAATTATTGTTAATTATAACTATTGATAATTATAATCCTTGTTGATTATAATTATTGATAATTATAATTATTATTAATTATTGCTAATTATAATTATTGGTAAATATACATTATAATTAATCCAAAAATAAAAAAGAGAAAATAACCGTGTCGTCGTCGCCCCAACATAGCCGACACATCGCCAACACCATCGATGACACCTTTGCGCAAGGTATAAAAGGTTCAAATCTCGTTCTCGGTTCTCGCAGTGTGTCGGGGGGACCATATACATGCTCTTGTAGCGTGGTGGAGATAACCTTAAGTACCCGTATGCGCCTTAGTGCATGCGAGGAAAGAAAACTGCGTATTTTCAAACATGTAACTTGAAAATACATATGCGCTCTTATAGCATGATGGGATTGAAGACTATGGCCGCAGTGTCGCATGACACCTACCATACAACTCTTGTAACGTGGTGGAAAGGCCTAGCTCCCACACTTCCCCAAAATGGTGGAGACATCAGGATGTTGCCGAAATTTCAAGTAATAGAGGACCTGTATTTAAACATAAATGCACAGAACTTATATGAACAAACAAGGGACCAAACTTAAACTAGACAACATGGAATAGAACCCTAAAATATTAAAATGCACAACCAAACTGAAAATACAAATCCTAAATGATAATTCAAGCATTAATTAACGAGGGACTTATGTTGAATGAGAACTCCAAATAATGATTAACAATTATTAAGAAGGATATATTTTTTATAGCAAGCAAATACAAGAATTTCCTACAACTAACGCTGAATGAATACACCAATCCTCAACAAGTAAAGGGAGTTGACGGGTGAGGAATGCAATGACCTATTAACTGAAATATGTTCAAGGAGTTCAAAATAAATGCAATGTACATGTGACTAGTGTTGCCTGGCTGCAAAGAGCACATAATAGTCAGTTCGCAAGCAATTGCAAAGGATAACAAGTAGTGAATACAACAATGCCCTTTAGCTAGCATCCATTCTCGAAAGTAAGCACCAGAAGACCAATGTGCAACAAGCAGGAGGGACAGGGGTCCATCGAATAATGACTTGCCAGCCAACATGCATGAGAAAGTTGACGTCAAATGTAATCCAGCCGACGTCCAACATTAAATCAACTGAGTGCACTAATTTGAATGCCAGCAAAGACGGTTGATATGACTTATATATGGATAACAACACAGGATATATCGCAAGCACGACGAATCCCCTGTGGATATAATTACATACATCACCTGCAAATAACTTTAGGATGCCCATGGGTGATGACAAACAACGTGCAACAAGTGCAAACACCCAATAACTATTGTAGAAGATTCATTGCACACGGTACATGCAGCTGACCAACAAGTGCAGGGAAATCGACAACAAATGCATCTCACTGGTAGTCAACAACAACATCTAGATGGCACATTGGACGTGTAATGATCGTGAAGATGCCCTTATAGTCAATGATAACCAAGCACTTAGCAGATGCACAATCTCCCTGCGGATGAGTAACCTAACTCACCTGCAAACAACAATGCTCTCTACAAGCACCTATATCAATGATGATTGAGATGCTACAAGTATGGTAGGTTCCCCTATAAGCATAGAAGCGCATTCACCTTGCTAAAGCTAAAGGCTTTGCAGATCAAGTATAATTAAAGTCCTCTAATTGATAACTTCAAAGATCCTGACAAAGATAGTAGGGTATAAAGGTGACTTGATGCACAAAGGAAATCCATTGATGTGCCATCAAAGGAAGACCTCGACTGTGACGTGAAGCATACAAAATTGAATAGTTTTGTAGAGTCAAAGAATGATAAATTGAAGAGGTGTTTCATCTTATCATCTCTGTAGAGATATCGAACACTTTCGGCAACTATAAGTGTTTGCCAGCTACTGCAAGAAACTCGTTAATCTCCTACTAGTAAAAGGCCCTAACTGCGACAAGTTGATGTGAAATTGAATGATTTTTTGAATGATTCTGCATAATGAAAGAATGAGCATTTAAAGAAAAAAATGACTTATTTTATCATCTCTTCAGAAATACTGAGACTCCCGAAAATATGCCGCGCTATTTGGGCGAAGACCTCGAGATCAAGTCCCTTAACTCAGTATCCTATATATGCATCTTAAATACATAGAATGGGCCTCTCGAGTACATTATTCTAAAGCTTCTATGCAATATGTGGGATGCAATCAAGAATTATCATTCTATATTTTTATTTTTCTATGTTTTGGATGTTTATTATTTTTCTATGTTTTGGCCTTTATGTAATTTGGATTCTATGTTTTTTTTATTTGTATTATCCTACGATGGAAAATAACTTATGATCATGCTTGGGTTTGGTGAGCTTAAGTAATTTCTCTCCATTGGTTTTTCACTTATGTTGAATTTGCTTTCTTGCTCATTGGTGGCTAAATAGGTATTTAATTTTGAGTTTTTTTTACCTTATTGGGCTTGGGCCATTACTTCCCATGTTGGCCGGCTGCTTGGTGTTCCCCATACTGGCTTCGGTTTCCTTGGTAGCCCTTAGTTTTCCCTGTTAGCTTTGGTTTCCCTATTGTTAGTTGTTCAACTCCACTCCTTGTTGATTGCTAGACTAGTGTTTCATTGTCTCATTAAGTGGTTGTCTTGATTGGTTTCTAATGGCTATTTGGGTGGTACATTTAAGTGGGCAATTATGGCATTCTTCTCCTATATAATATGGCCGATTTTCTACAGGAAACGGTTGTTGTGGGTGAAAACAAATCCAAACATGAGGGCTTCTTCCTAGCTTGAGAGCTATTTCCTTCACCAATTTCTTCTTCTCGGTCTTCTATCTATTTCTTCTCTCAATGGTTCCCCTTATACTTGTATCTTTATTCTCCAAATATTGTGAGTGTAAGGTATTGTCATGCCCTGTTTGTTGGTATTTGCAGGAGAAGCGTCGACTTGAGCTAGATCATAATTTATGTGATGAACAACTAGTTTGATTTTTCCTTTGAGCATCAATCTCTATTTTTATGAGTTGAATGTGAGGTGACCTT